TAAAAGGTCATAAGAACAAAGGTAAAAGAAAAACAAAAGCAACTAGCACTACTACTAAACTACTAAACACTATATATTTACAAACTTAGTTACATGTTGAATTGGAAATTTTTAAGAACACTATAGTTAAAGAAAGAAATCCGGACCGCTAAGAAATACGTCCGGTCTATCGGGTATGCTCGGGTGTAGTGCGATTTACATAATTGAACGAATTAATTAGGCTAATTAATTACGACAATCAGTAAATCGTACATTGTTTCGTTCTCTCAATATGGCGTAACTATACTTGATAAAGAATAATCAAAGAAAAATAATACAGCAGGGATATTTTAAAATATGAATTATGATCTATTATAAATTTTGAAATATTATAGGACTTTAAAGAAATTAAAGAAATAAATCCGGACCGCTATGAAATACGTCCGGTCTATCGGGTATACTCGGTATTCCAGAGAAAAAAAGCTGAAAATGTTAAAATGTTAATGGATGACAAACAATGATACATGAAACAGGATAACACTTGAGTGAATAAAAAGTTGAAATTAGTATATATACATTACCTTCATCACAAACACATACTGCTTCATGGTTCTGGAAAACACACTGACTCTGATTGCTACAGTTTTTTAGTGTTGAGTTACAAGCTACAGAATCTATATTTGAAAATAAGAAAATGATTAATTTTTTATGCAAGAAAAGGCCACATTCTTGAATATTTATATATTTTAACAAATAATGACAATTTATATGTTTACGAAATAATAAGGCTCTAAATCTTAAAATAGGTTCATAGTGAATCAAAGTATTTACTATGGTGAACTTTTGTAAACTAGTTAACTTTGATAATTTTTGGTTTAGAAAGAGATAGCAATTTGATTAATTTATTGCTTGTATTTTATACGGCTTTTAAATATTGACAGCTCTTTATCGTGCCAACGTCCACCGTGAGATTTAGAACCTCGGTTTTTAAGGTCACATCTGAAGGATCCGAAACTTTCACTTCAAAATGCAGAGTGCATGTTGAAGGAACAGTTGCCACCCATATTTACCGACTTAGGTCAATCGCGGCCGAAATTTGAACTCACGACCATCTAGACAAACATAACATTTCCAGCAATGATAGAGCAACGTTCCGTGCGTTGACGCTGGCTATGGTCTGATAAAAGTCCTATCGGGAATTACATATTTTCAAACAGTTTTTCTACATTATCTTTAATATATATTTTGAAGAAAAACAATGTCACGATCTTTCAAAATTAAGACATCAACGGTAAGAGACTGGTCCCTAAAATTAGGGACCTAAGGTTTTCCCCGATATTTTGAAAATTATTGAGATTTTCTGATATATCAAACGAGCAAAGTTGTTCAAAATAACAAGTTCGTAGAAGCTAATGAGATCTTTAAAATGCGTCGAATGATATCCCTTCTGGCCAAACAACTATTCCAAGATTACTTATTTTCAATTTTCTGCATTAAATTTGAGTTATACATGTCAGAGAGGACATCTGATCGTATTTTCCGGTAAAACCGGAAGTAACCAAACGAATTATTTTTGCAAATCTATTTACTTTACACCAGACTTCCCACCAAAATTTCTGTCAATTAGGTCACTTTCCGTCAAATTATAAGTCGTCTAAATTATTCTATTTCTCAAAAATCATCATAGATTTCATGAAAAAGTAATAAATTTAGATCGACATTATTTTGGCTAAGGGGTTTTCCTTTTAATGAATATGTTATTTTTATTTGCCCACTTTAAAAGCAGTGCTATTGGAAATCAGACGGACGACATACTCGTTGATTTGCGACGAGCTCGGCCCTAGTTATTATATCTATTTTATTATCCATGGCGGGATTGACGATCCCTACACAATAAAAAGATCAGAAATACAAATTTAAATAATCATGAAAACGAAGAAATGCTCAGCTAGGCAATAATAACACAAAAAATAAAAGAATTTTATATGTGTAACGTTAAACGTTATTGGCGGTCTTTTAAAACTGCAATTATTCACAAATGAACGTTTTCTGACTCTTTAAGTCAATAATTGTATAATATACACTGTTTACTCGTACTTACGATATCTGGACATACAGCTTTTATAGAAGTATGAAGCGGTATCAATTGTGTAGGGCTCTGGAGTAGCATCTTGTCTAATGATATAGCAGAACCCTCTGGTATGATATAAAGCTTTGCATTGTCCATCTCCAAGACATTCTTCTTTACATAAATCTAGACTTTTCTTTCCTGTAAGCTCTGATTTATCACCAGCAACAACAAAACTGCCAGGTTTTCCTTGCATATTGCAGTTTGTCACTACAAAGTCAATGAACTGGTCAATGAGACACGATGCTCGCCTTAGTCATTATTAGGTTAAATAACCTTGTTTAAAGCTGTAATCAATATTTCCTTCAGAGGTACCAAGGCGTCTCCATATGAGGGAAAAATTCTCGAGAGGGATGTTTAACAACATATTAAACTTGCCATTTGTAATAAATGCTTTATACACATACGCACACACACTCTTTATTATTTAATATGCTGCAGAACAGAGCTTCAAATGTGCTTCAGGTCCACATGAACCGAATTGTTCATCACATAAGTGTATTTATGTAAATAAAGGAATTTATGTGATCTAAATGCGTACAAATTTTTTTTATTATTCACTATTTTGTGTGAATTCATGGGTCCCGAAAGGATTTTCCGTGTTTTATAGTTAAGCGCCCTCTAGTAACGACTATTAGTCTTATCCTTTTCAAAATAACTTTGGGCTCCGAAAATGTGGTTTACAAATTTTACCCTAAAAATATTTCAGAAAATATATGTACTAGTTTTCTTTCTTAAGGTGTGGGATATTTTTTGGGCCCCATCTTCTGCTGCATTCTGAAATTCTAAATTTCTGTAATCTCATGTGGCATTTGTAATAAATGCTCTATACACACACACCCTCTTTATTATATAATATGCTGCAGAACAGAGTTGCAAATGTGGTCCAGGTTCACATGAACCGAATGGTTCATCAGTGTGATGTTTTGATCCATTACTTCAAACGTTTTAATGACCCTAATTTGAATCATAATGGAATAACCTGACATCCCTTTATAATAGACTGCCTCGGTAGTATAAAAGTAGGAGACGCTGAAAGACAGTGTCATTTCTGTTACAGCGAAGATTTCTAGTTTTAACTTCTGGACTCATACAATTGATTAGCGGCCCGAATAAAGCCGAAGCTGTTCAATTGTATGATATAGTTTGGCAAGCAAAGCCAAAGGTCTGACAATTTGTCAAAAAGATCACGGGTGCCAGTGTTAGGGGCCCAAATAGAGCCGACCTGTCCTTGGTACTTGTGTATCTATTTTATAAGAAGTTAGGTTTACCTTAGCTGTAATAAGCTTGTTGTATTTTTGATTCTTTCGTGATTTATACCCAAGGCTGGGATACTTAATAAATAATATGAATCTAATTAGTGATTGAGAAAAATTGTTTGTCACTTTATCGTTTTAAAAAAGTAAGCGTAAAGAACTCAAATACACATTACAATCAGTTTCAGTATTTAAGAGCACATAACTGCAGCCCGGAGGACCGGGCTGCTCTATACATATAAGTTTAAGTGTTGGTGTATGGAGATTGAGGTGGGAGAAGTTATTTAGAATTAAAGGTTTTCTAAACATGAAAAAAGTTGTTAATCAGAATGTTCTTCCCTTCATAAATTTCGAGATACATGTTATATTTTCTTCCATAAAGTGAATCAGTAAAATATATATCTTTTTCATATTTAGTACATAAAGATGCGTATAATTTACTCACCAAAAACAACAGGTCCCTTTTTTTAGAACATCGAATTTTACTTATCGCATAAAAACGTACTTCACACAGTTCGTGTTTTACATCCTTAAAGTGAAATACATTTTAAATATAGGTGATGCATGTGTCTGGTTTCGGTAATTATATTTTATGCATCCAACATTTACTTGAGGAATTGATAAAGTTTAAAAAGGTATTTTTTTTTCGATTTTCATCCGACTATTTTTCAAAATATTCTCGACTATCGTCTCCATCACTTAGACGCATGCATTTTTCACACATATCGAGGCGGTTTGATGATCAAGACTCCTTTCCATTGTTTACTTTATTTATTTCCCGGGCGACAATTGATGGTTAAATCAATGTTTTCTTGTTTTGTATTCATATGAGGCAGAATTTGTCCAGAATATTATACGCCAAAAAGAAAACACGTGCTGTGGTTTTCACTTCTACATTTAGATATATCGACGACGTATTGTAAATACACAATGTTAGCTTGAAATTAAAAAAAGAGAATGAGATCTGTCTATGATTTGGATATTTTACTTGAGAAAGGTAACTTGTTTCTGGTATTCTACTACGATTATTGTCGAGATCAAAGAAATGCCACGGACATTATTCTAGATAATAAATCACGAACGTCATCAAAACATTATCAGTTAAGAAACACCCATCAAACCTGTGCAGTTATCACGAACGTCATCAAAACATTATCAGTTAAGAAACACCCATCAAACCTGTGCAGTTGAAATGTACATTTGACTTACAAATGGAATACATATTTAGACCACATCGATGTGTCGTCTTTTGCAATTTAAATACTGGATATTGCAGAAAGTAGCTAATGAACGTCGGTTTATAAAGATAAGCGGGCTGTTTCATGGACCTCCCTACGCCACATTTAAGCTCTGTGATTTTAGTAATTAAGTGGTTAATTTGGAAATTGATTTTGTTATTTTATATTCGAAAAGATTTATCTATAAAAGCTACAGATTTATAATTGACAAAAGGCTAATTTTAATGTGACGAAAGCACAAATCATCTGCATTCTTTTCACAGGTAAACAAATTAGCACTCTGGTGCTAGACGGAACAGCAAAATCGCATCATGATGACCTAATTCGTTTCTCTCAAGGGAAATGATCAGTCGTATTTTAGAGCTGCTTAGTGGAATAGTTGGGGTCTTTGTCTTAAATAAAAACTTGAAACTTGAGAAAAAAGACCTTGTTGTCGTAATTGATGCAGAATAACCTTCTCGGTCTCGAAATGTTGTTTGAAAGATAAAAGCCGAGGCCTTAGTCAAGGCTTTTATATTTCAAACAACACATTCACGAAAAGTCCTTGTTGTCGTGAATGATGCAGGATAACCTACTCCATCTCGAAATGTTTTAAATATAAAAGCCTCGGCTTGTATCTTTCAAACAAGTTGCTCGCGTGGTGCAATGGTTAGAGGGTCTACCCTAGAGTCTCGAAGTAAGGAGTCAATCCTTATATCGCGGGTTCGAATCCCACAGTTGGACGTGGAGACCGGTCCTTCGGATGAGACCGAGGCCCCGTGTCGCAGTAGGTGCTGGCACGAAAAGATCCCTCTCTGGCCCTGAGTGCCGAGTATCGGACAAAAATTGCAGCTCTCCACCGGCAAGTGATGGCGTATACATAATGAGTGAAAAATTCTGGTGAAGGACGTTAAAAATATATAATCAATCAACCAATATTTTCAAACAACATTTTGAGACCGGGGAGGTTATCCTGCAATATTGATGAAAATATGGGTTTTATTTCTTAATTTATGTTACAAATTAGTGATAAAATCGTATCATTTTTTTTTTTCACTGGTACGTGAAAGTGGTTTATAAAACATGAATGTCCTATTAATGATTTTGTACTTACCAATTTTGTAGAATAACTGAGAGGTATCAATTGTGTAGAGCTCTGGAAAAGCATCTTGTTTAATTATGTAGCAGAAACCATTGGTATGAAATAAAGCTTTGCATTGGACATCTTGGAGACATTCTTCTTTACATAACTCCAGAGGTTTCTTTCCTGTAAGCTCTGATTTGTCATCAGCAACAACAAAACTGCCAGGTTTTCCTTGCAAAGTGCAATTTGTCACAAAAAAATTGAAATGGAAACAATAATTCAATCATTGTTTGACATCATATTATAATTCATAATTTATATATTATGATTTATAACTGTAATTTTTTGTCATCTGAATTCTTTAGAATTAGTACGATTCTCGGTTGACCTTGGACTTTCAGTACAGTGTTAACGTCTCTGAAATGGGAATGAATAGATTCTCATTGGTTGAGAAATTATTAATATCAGCAATTTTAAATTGTTTCTGACAACGATGAGACGAATTAAGCCCCGCCTCTCTGCCGTACGAAACGTTATCATTGGATCATTGATACACTCGTTGACATTCGCCGGAATGTCCTTTTCAACAGTGAATGAAAGGCTGTGTAAATTTCAGACGCTAATTTTGTAACGTCAAGAATACCACGTCTTACTGAAAGTCCAAGGTTAAAAGAGAATTTTACTATTGAATGTGTAAAACAATGAGATGTAATACTTTATAAGATAAGATTAATAAAATAAAAAAGCTTGTCATCATAAAGTGCAGTGAATTGAAGCTATTTACCAGATTGACAACAGATACATTCATTAGAACAGGACGTATTTAATTGGCAAACATCAAAGGCAGTTTTAAAGAAACCTGTTCACAAAATAATCACATTTCATTTATTATTTTTATTATTTTAAGTGTGGTCAAATTTGAATAAGAGGGAATAGATATAGCCTTATATTAATATATAACTAATATTTACTTGCTGCATGTACATGTATATATTTTAATTTACATCGTGCAATAAAATATTATAAATACACTTGACTTTAAGGGTTATCTATAAGTCATTCAGTAATTCATCATCGTGCATGTAATAACATTTAATTTATCAATTCAACAAATCTATTTGGGTAAAGGGTAGAAAAATTGTAAATTCTAAGAGGGCTATTCAATAAATAATCTTGAATTGTATGACATACAATACAGATACCGGTAACATATGACATTAAGCTTGACTTTCTCGCATTATTTAATCTTTAATGAATCTATAACACATAGTTTCATTGTGAGAATCTGGAAAACAAGGGCTATTCGAGACACTGCATTAAAAATGAATGGTAAAGAATCAATAAACTAGAGTGAAATTAAATGCGTCATTAATTAAACTCGTTAAGAATCCCAAAGAAATATTCACTGAAATATGTGAAATTTACAGCAACCAATTTCTATTTTATAGACAAATGAGCAGGTGAATTTCTATGATTAAAACAAATATAATGGGCATCAAAAATGGGTACCGTCCTTGCTAACAAAATATTATAACAATTAATGAACTGTTTGCCAAATTTTAACAAATAATCATTGATGATGTATGATTGACTTTAAGACATACAGCAAATTTGATAGTCATCATATCGAGAGTAATTCACGTAGTTTTAAAGAAACGTTTGACAGAAAAAAGCTTATATTAATACTCAAAGGTAACCCTATGTTTTTAAAATGAGTGAAAACGACAGCGTGTAAGAATATCTAAACAATTATTTTAAAATATGTTATTGTAGTTATTCAAGTTTGTCTGAAATTCAAACAGATAACGAAACTTGAATATATTGCTCAAAACACTCGAAACAAAATTTACAATAAGGTGTACTTGACAAATCTGATAAGAGCAAAGAATTGCAAGAGCTCAAAGACAGATTTAGATGCAATTTTCTTAAATATTAGTGGTCTTGTTCAAATTCGTATTCGGGGAGGCAGTTTAATTCGGGGAGTCTAGAAAGCAATTTTTATGCAAAAAAATCGAAAGGTTAATGAGGGGAAGGAAACAGAATCGGGAATTCACTACATGAACTCTTGACAGCATCCAAACCCGCACGCCCTGAAGAGTGAAGGGGATAAACAGAGAGTTAATTTTTTTCACATTAACAATATTCGCCAGATATTTCGTCTTTTGACTTGTTTCATTTTCCAAACTAGAAAAAAACACCTTTCAAAAGAAAGGAACTAGTCTAGAAGACCATAAGATATGCCAATCAAGTTACATCATTAAGATTAAATCATTGAAAAGCGTTTTCTTTATTTTTGCTTCTTTCCGACCACCGAGGACATTATTTCTTGAACAGCCCTAGTACGTCTCCCTCTCATGGTACCAGAGGGATGGGATTAAATCCATAAAAATATGTGCTATTAAGTGAACCTAAAACTTTACTTTCCTGTTGTTGCTCCATCTTACCCCTAGAGGATCATGCCTTGAACAAATTTAAATCTACACTATGTCAATACGATTTCAAATACTTTTTTTGGCCTAGTGGTTCATGGGAAGATGATTTTAAAAAGATTCCCAATTTTAACTATTTCTGAGTTAACTACCCTAGGGAATGGGAGTTGTCCTTCATTTGAAAACATTTAAATTTCCTTTACCCAAGAATAATTTGACCCAAAGATTGAAATTAGTCGAAGGGTTCTGGTGAAGAAAATGAAATGTGAAAAATTTACGACAAAGGAAAACTTTTGATTTAAAAAAAACTCAATGCTAAAAAAGAAACGTTTTCCTCACAAAGAAATCTTCACAGCTTTTTGATTCAGCTATTCATTAATGACTCAATTTATAATTCACTTATTTACCTTTAATGATGAATGAGATCGTACATCTTGCAGTATTCCCTCCATTATCTACTGCTGTGTAGGTGACATTTAAATCCCGAGACACCACTGTACCACTTTTGAAATTGGAAGGATCCACAGTCACATTCTTCACCAGTCCAGAGTTATCAGTGACAGTTGGGGTAACAAAGCTTACAGTCTCCATACTGTCAATGTAATATGTCTTGGGACAGTTTTTAAACTCTGGTGGTGTAACATCTGTATTCAAAAAAAGAGATTCAAATATTTTTAAAAAAAAAATTTCAATTATTTACCAGTACTGATTATTTTTTATATAATTTATCTATATTTGTAAACGGATATCAACAAATATCTGAAGACTTAAATATCGTTCGATCTAACAGACTATTACATCAAAAGGTTTTAGTCAGTTACTGGGGCATATACGGTATTCGTTAAAATTTTCTGCTTAAGATATGTCACTCGTCAGCTTTTTAAAAAAGTTCAGGCAGAACCTCTTACTTCAAAACTATTTATTCTATTTCAATTTTTATAACATATGTAAATTGTTCAACGTTCAATGAAAAAAAACTGCTCACAAATCCACAAAGAAGCAAGATTTATGAATGACTATTTCTTGTGGTGGAAGATATTTAGCAGAAAATTCTGCAATTCTGCACATTTATTTAATTTAATATCTGGGATCTTTAGCCTAACATACTTTTTCTCGGAGAATATTTTCCGTTATGATATGCAAGGAATATTTAATTTAGGTCTCAATTCATATTTTTTTAACAAATTTCACAACTTCCCTCAATAAACTTTGCCGAGAAATGAAGATTTGTTAAATTAATCAAGATGAAATTTTCATTGTTCTTTGCCTGAAAATCGCATATTTTGACCAATACTTCATTTTTTTTTCTTTCACTATTTTAAACTACTCGATACTTGTGACTGATCATCACTTAAGTTGTAAAAAGCTTGACACAATATGCCTATTTAGATTTTTAATACCCCAAAATATGTTAATTTTTCAGTGCAAAAAGGTCAAACAATAATTTTCGCACATTAATTTGCAATGATGAGTATCATTCAAGCTATTTTTACATAAAATATGATTTATTGATTGATATGGTTACATTTAATAAAAAATGATAAAGGTTAAAGTAATTAGCTAAAGAGACAAAATTTAAGTGCAAAAAGGTCAACTTAATCGTACCGTAGCTCAGTAAGATGCACACTGACCTCTGTTCTCTGCGATATTTAGTTATACTATATGAGTACTTTTTCAAAATATACTTTAAATAAAATTACACGAGTGACACACCTTAAAACTAATCTTACTTATCTTAAATTCAAGGTTTATAAAAATGGATCCACCTACTTCGTTTACTTACGGAACAGCGTTTTCGTGATTAAGGTGATCGTAAAGTTTAACTTTGAATTCTTTGTTCATTGTATAAAGAGAATTATTTGCGTGTTGCCTTACATGTATGTATTACAAATTTCCCACCTGTGCAAAGAGGTAAGTCAGAGGAATTCCAAGTGGCGTTTTTGCTCCCCTGCTCTACACAGAGAAGAGGAGTAGAAGGAACGGGTTCATATCCCTGACGTGTACATCTAAACCTGAGGAGCTCCCCAACCTCATAACTCCTCACTACCTGTACAGCACCCCCTGGTGTACCAGGGTCTGTGCATCGTCCAACTGTTAAAACACTTTCAAAGATTATGCATGTCAATTTTCAGTTTACTTGGTAAAATAGAAAATATACAGGCAATATCAACACAGATAAAACAAGTAAATAACATAGCAAAACATAAGGCCCATAAGCCAGGAAGTAATTATTCTCTTCACTGGTTATAAGGAACACAATTTCAGAAGTTTCAATTATGCTTGTACATAAAAATTACTGTGTAAAACTTTGCCCACAAATTGTAACCAAAGCCCACTTCTTGAACAGTGGCAGAAATTTCAAAACATGTAGGATATGGGTTCAAGGTTGGTCAATTGAAAGACAGATGGACAGTCCTGGCATGCAGGTATTGGATTTGACTTTATTGGGACCATTTGTTCAACTGAGCAAATTTCACATTCATAATCAGAAATAGATGTTTGCGTACTAGTCAGATTATTTGTGACTGATAGTTTTGAAAAATAATAAAGATTTTTTTTCATAGAAATTGTTACGAAATTTAGTAGCTGCCCCTGAACAAAATTGTATGCACAAGTTATACCCAACCCCTTCGGACATACATTTTAGGGTTTGCTCGATCGTACCCAAAGCAGTACTTGACCTAGATATTCTTATGATAAATCTGTTTATCAAAATTCATTTCAGGTGTGCAACCTCTGCGAAGAAAATGAACGGAAACTTAAGATAATTGTTCCATATATCACTGGATTTTTCCCTACACATCCTATGCAAAATTAAATCATTTAGTGTGATGATTTGGGACGTAAATCGATGTGTTTGTGAAACACTGATGCCCCCGTATGGCAGCTTACGGCGAAGATAAAAGTTTCTTAAATGCAGTCAAACCCAAACGTCAAGAGATCAAAAAATGTTCTTTCCCAAATTCTTAAAGAGTTTTTGCATTTTCACTTTATGATAAATAGTGTCCCATTCTAACTCCCTAATCAATAAACTTAAGAGGGGACCTATGCCGTTCTACGTCAAAGCAGCGTTATGTGACGTCACAATAGCGACGTTTATTTTACCTGTTGACTTTTGCAACTGTGATATAGGCTTAATTTACAAGAAGAAAATTTATACATCATCAGTAGCAATTTTATTTTATAAATGGAGATTGTTAAAATTAGAAATCTCTTCCTGGTTTGACAGTTCATAGCAATTTCAATTGTGAAAAAATACCTCGATAATATGCTGAGATAAGCGCAAAAAGATAAGATGAAATTCAGCAAAGAAAGCGGCTTAAATCAGGAATATATGTGTAATTTTATGTTCACCACCATAAATTTTATTTTCTCCATATAACTATAAGAAAAACTAGAAACGATCTCGTTGCGAGCAACGAGAGGTCTTCCGTCCGATTCTGAAAAAAACCTGTAAAATCGAGCTGAAATAGTAATTTGAAAAATTCATACAGATGGGTGATTGAACCAGGGTTACCAGCAAGTGTTTCCAACGCGCTTACCTTAACTATATTGGGACTACTTTCTTAATTTATTTTTATATATTTCTGCAACAGTATATCTGTCTTGAAATTGTGAAAGGCTGGTCGCTATTCATAATTTCGCGCCAAACGTCACGTATAAATCTTCACGCCTTCTTTGGAAAGTTGTATTAAAAAGGTGTGATAACTTTAATCAGATTAAAATAAGAACATTCTTATAGCTTAAATTGTGAGTTTTAAAAGTCATTTAAAACGTTCAATGTACGAGACATAAAACATATCGTTTATACGCAAGTAATAGAAAAGCAGTGGAATATGGCTATGATTCTTCAACATATTTTAATTTCCCATTGAGTTACACATTCATTAAAAATCTGAAACTGCAAAACGTGCTTCTCCCAACGACGGTCAAGAATTAAGATACCATTTATGTTTAATATCTTGAATTAGATCTATTAGAAAACAAATGTTTACATTAACTTCATTAAACGATCTTTTGAAAAAATGGTTTACTTATTTTATTCTTTTCTATTAGTTTGCATAGGAAAACAGTGGCCGCGTTTCATACTCATTGAATATATTGTTTTTTGATAAACTTATGCTTACATGTATATTAATCGTGATTCAAGATCTGTTGTTTCATAATGCAAAACAAAAGGTTGTATATATAGTATTTCATTTGTACATGTAGTCTCGTCTTTTTCTACTTTGAGAACCAGATAAAACCAATTTGAGAAGATCTCGCATTAAAACTTTAGTTAAAACAGAATTGTAACGTAACTATGACGTGACAATTAAAGTACCTTTTCACATTTCATTTATCCTTATCTTAGTTTCGTTCAACCAAACGCTCAGCTGACTCCATAACCCCCTACGCGCTAAATGTCGGAGTTGACAGAGACAGACGCCATTTTGGATACGCATCGAATTTTCAAATGTTAATATCTAGAGTTTGAATTTATCAATTTATAAACAAATTATACATTAAGCCTAATTAGAAGGGTTTCTATTAAACATTTTAAAATAATTCAAAAATATTGAAAAATAAAAAAGTTAGAAAATTTAAATTTTTATATTTTCATCTGGAAACAACAGGAAGTACTGACGACGAACGAAAGGTCGCGTCCTAAATAGTGAATATCACGATCTATAATCCCTAAAAGTTTCACATTAATATCTTTTACCATTCTTGGGATTAACCACGGACAAAATGTCATTTTAAATTCAGGAAAAGGTCTGTAACTTGGCACCGGAAGCGACTTTCCAAAAAATCTCTCGGATAAAATAACTTCAGATCACAACATATTGTTTCTGAGAATTTCGTGAAAATTCACCGAGTAGTCTTCGAGAAATCGCGTGCACAAAATTAGATGGTCAGAAAAATAATAATAATAACTAGAAAAGAAACTCGTTGCGAGCAACGAGAGGTCTTCCGTCCGATTCTGAACCCCCCCCCCCCGCAAAATTGAGCTGAAAAAAGTGATAAAACTTGTTATGAAAACAAAGGGCATTGAACCCGGGTCGTTAGCATGAAAATCCAAACCGCTTACTATTACTCTTTAAGAACCAAAGCTCTAAATGTACTTGTATATACTTCTGCAACAGTACATTTGTTTTCGAATAATGAAAGGCAGGTCACTATTCATAATTTTGTGTCAAACACCACGAGTAAATCTTCGCGCTTTTTCTTTGGAATGTTCCATTAAATAGGTGCGATAGTTTCGATGGAAATGAAACAAGAACGTTCTTATAGCTTAAATTTCAAGGTTAAGAAAGTATATTTAGCATATTTACACATTCCATATCGTATATAGATAAATAATACTAAATCAATGAATCTGGTAAACTTTTTACCTTTTTTTTTTCATCCCCACTAAGAACATATTGATAAAAGCATGCCTACTACAGTCAGGTAATCAGATAACATTTATGTTCAATAATTTAAATCAGATCTTTGAGACAAGAATGTTAATAATTGAACTCCGTTCAACGATCTTTTGAAAAGTGATTTTCTTATTTTTTTTCTATTCTATTAGTTGAATATGACACAAGTCTGCATGAGCAAAACAGTGGTTACGTTTAATACTTACTATGTACATCCATATTGTTTCTTAAAAACTATTACTTATACCTATGATTTAAAATCTAATTTTCCGAAACAAAAGATACTAGGTATCGTATTTCATTTGCACATTTAGTCTTTTCTTTTTCTACTTTGAGAACCAGCCAAAACCAATTATAGAAGACGTTTCTGACGACAAGGATTAAACCATAGTTTGACACAGAATTATAACGTAACAACGACGTGAGAATCCAAGTATTCCTTTACATTTCATTTATCCTATGTTACTTTCATTCAAGCAAACGCTCGGCTGACTTCGTAAACCCTGAATTGCGAAATGTCGGAAATGACAGAGACAGCCGCCATTTTGGACCCGCTTCAGATTTTTAAATGTTAATATCTAGAGTTAGGATTTATCAATATTCAAACAAATGATACACTAAGCATTAAAAGAAAGGTTTCTATTAGCATTCCAAAAATAAATAAAAAATATTGAAAAACAAAAAAGTTAGAAAATACGGACTTTTTAATTTCGCTTCTGATAGCAACCGGAAGTAGTAACGACGCACAAAAAGGTAATTCCGCAAATCTAGAAGTGATTATCTATCATCTCTAATAAGTCTCCAGTTAATATCTTAAGCCATTTTTGAAAAAAAGGGGGAACAAAAATCCGTTTTAAAATCAGAAAACTGTCAATATCTTGGAATCGAAGGTGAGTATTCCAAATTTTCCTTGTCATGCCACAACTTCATATAATGACGCATAATTCCTGAAAGTTTCATTGAAAACCACTGAATAGTTTTCGAGAAATCGCCTGCACAAAATTTTGGGGAAAAAAATAATAATAATAATAATAATAAGAAGAAACAGTAGAATCACTAGAAGGTCTTCCGTGAAGACGGAAGACCTTAATAAGAAACAATAGAATCGCTATAAGGTCTTCCGTGCTTATTGATTACCAGGTAGTACATTTAGATTTAATTGTATAAAGTCAATCCTAGATTAATTCTTATAGGTGTTGGTTGTTCACGGGGAAGAGGCGTGGGGTGGGGGTGCAATGATTGGAATCAAAAAGAAAAGATTAAATAAGTGTATATTGTTACTAATCAAAACAAAATACTCGTTTTCCGCAAAATAGTTTTATATCCAGATGTTTGCCAGTGCTAACTTACCTTTGTTTTAGTGCAGAAAGGTCAATATTCACGACACAAGAGTGCGAAAATATAACAAAACTTTATATTTATCATTTATTTTATCATAAAGGTATACTTTTTTCTTTATTAAAATAAAGGGATAATTTATTTCTTTCAGAAAATATGAATTACAGTATTTTCACACAAAAATTTTTAAGATATTACCTTTTATGCATGTCGGAATTGTAAAAAATACGACAAGAAAAATGGGGAACACTTACATTGTGCGCCATCATAATTTTTCATGCTAGATGAATTATAATGATTCTGCTTTCATTTAAAAGATACAAGTCAAATAATTTAAATACCTGTTGATTTTGAATGTGATTTGACATTTTTGATTATTTTAAGGGCATATTTGGGAAAAACAATAATGTTTGAAAATAATCTATTTTTTGCTTTTTGCATAAGCATATGGAGGTATTATTTTTTATACCTAGACATTAAGAGCAAGTGGTCATGAAAGAAATGTCAAAGTTTTGAAAATTTCACACAAGGACTTTTCGGACATAGGTCCCTAATTAAGACCATTAATTTCAAAATTTTGACACTTTGATTTGCTTGATATCTAGGAGTAAAGAAAAAGACTGTCAAAAAAAGTTCTTATTTTTATGGTTTTAGTCACTTCTCCTTGACTCTGGGGACAGAGACTATGAAATTCACTTGTTCGGTACACATTTACCGAAGCAATATGCTTAAATTTATTGAAATTCAGTGGTTAGATAGAGGAAACTGAAAATAGTCATAGTGTATTATTCATGCATGATGGTGGACAAAAACAGATACATGTAGTAATATGTTATCTGAGCGACTCAGGTGACCTAAAAAATCGGCATTAAATCCTTTTCAACAACAAACTACCTGTACATGTGAGATTCCCAAAGCCCCACTGTCTGTTTTCCTGACATCTTACAATGTAGTCCCCATCTACTGACTTTCCACTGAGGGTTGAACCATTCTGACAGCTAAAATTAAATGAACTGCCAAAAAGTGAATCAGAGTAGCTGTATGCATCAGCACCTGGAACTTGCTCTGGCATCCCACATTCAATTACTGTTCAAAAAGAAATAGATAAATATTAGTTTTGTGAAGTACACGTATTCCTTGTAACAATCATTTTATAAATAAACAAGATGTGTTTGTGAAACACCGATGCCCCCGTGTGGCAACATAGTGAAGATTAAACTTTTCTTAAATGCAAATTTAATATATTGGTACCCAAAGTAGGGTCTTCTAACTGGAAATATAATTGTGAAACATGAAAGCCTTATTACCACCTGTTCCCAATTATGGCCAGGCTTAAGTTTTTTCAAAAGTACAGAAATCTTCAAGATCAAGGTCAGAAGGTCAATATTATTGGTATCCAATGAAAGGTAATATTTCCACCAAAAACACATGTGTGAAGTATGGAAGCCTTAGCCCTTACCAAAAGTTCTGGCCATGGTTAAAAGATTTTAAAAGTAAATTAAGCTCCAAGATCAAGGTCAGAAGGTCAAGGTTATTGGTATTGAACGAAAGGTCTTGTCACAAGACTTATATATGTACAGTATGAAAGCCCAAGCCCTTAGTCTTGAAAAGTTATTGCCAAGGTTAATACTTTTTTATAAGTCCTGAAATCTATAAGGCCAAGGTCAAAAAGTCAAGGTTATTGGTATCCAATAAAAGGACTTGTCACAAAGGATACATTGATGCAGTATGGAAGATCTAGCTCTAAAGTTTATTGAAAGAGTTAAAGTTTTTCATAAGTCCGGAAATCTCAAAGGTCAAGGTTAGAAGGTCAAAGTTATTGGTATCAAATGAAAGGTCTTTCCATAAAGAATACATATGTAAAGTATAAAAAGTACAAGTACTTATCCTTTAAAAGATATTGTCAATGTTTGTTTTTTAAAAGTAGGTCAAACTACAAGGTCAAGGTCAAAGGGTCAAAGTTCTTAGTATCCAATGAAGCGTCTTCTTACAAGGATAACATATGTAAAGTATGAAAGCTCTATCCCTAACCGCTCAAAAGTTATTGCCAAGATTAAAGTTTTTTCATTAGTATGTAGATCTCCAAGATCACGGTCACAAGGTCAAGGTTGGTGTTATCCAATTAAAGGTCCTGTCATAAAGAATATATATGTAAAGTATAAAAGTCCTAGTATCTACCGTTCAAAAGTTATAAAGTTATAAGTGAAAATTAAAAATTTTTGTGTTTAAGTGGGTCAAAGTCCAAGGTCAAAAGGTCATTTTGGTGGTACCCAAAGAAAGGTCTTGTCACAAGGAATACACAAATTCTGAATCCTTCATATAGCATGTTTAAATGTGACAATATCAATGTGTAATTTACATGTATACGAGAGGGCGTTATAAGTATACAGTACTTGTGCTCAATCCCTTTGTAATTATATTACAATAAAATATGTTCAAACCAAAAGTTATGGGCAAGGTTAAAATTTTTGCGGACAAACAGACAAACAGAAAGACAGAGAGGCAGAGACAGAAAGACAGACAGACGGACACGACAAAAACTATATACCCCGAAACTTCGTTTACGGAGGCATAAAAATCTAAAGGAAGATGATAGCTTAAAGTGACTCAATTTGAACGAGAAAAAGCATTTCGAATTAATTTCAAAGAAAATATAATTTTTAGAAACTTTGCAAATGGCCACATCGTTTTTCAAAATCAAAAACCAAACGAATAAAAGAACTATGCAAATTAGATAGTCTGTTTATATACCAAGTCAAAACAAGTAAAGGAATTTTTCTGAAAAATTCTATTTTCAGTAAGTTAAAAAGAGAATTATGCATCTTAATATACGAGTATAATATACTTGTGTACTAATTTTTATTGAAAGCGGAAAAAACGGTCGAAGTAGCATATTGAAAAAAAAATCATATGTAATTCCAATTTTGAATAATCAGGGTTGCACTCTTTGATGAAATAAAAAAAAAGATTTATGCATTCTTGTAAATGTATTTGTGTACTAAATCTTAGTGTTATTACACCAAAACATTTATTAACGTAGCATTTAAAAAAAATGTAGAACAGATGGAAGGACAATGCACACCTTACTATCACATAAGTTCTCCTGGTCTCTGAAAAGAAGAGCTAACTTAAACGAGAATCATACAGGTCATAGTGCCTCTCTGAGACACTATTATCCTTCTGTTCCATAGTTTGGATTTTTTTTCCTGCACATCCTATGTTAAAATAACAAGAAATCTGTGAGCCAATGCTCACTAGTAATACCCCCGCTCTGATGTGAATAAACACTTACATGTTAATATATATATATGTACAAGTTCAATTACGGGCAGATGCACAGAAAAATATGAAGTTGACATCATATTCACATCAAAATGAATCCCACTATATAACATGTCTCAACAAAGAGTGAACTAAAATTTCAAGCATCTGCGACGAGTAGTTACTGAGAAAACTGAGAAAAATGTTTATGTTTGAAACAGGCAGACACACTGACAAACAGGAAGTTGACATAGGATTTGAACAAAAATGTATCCCACCATATTGCATGCCTCAGAGGGTATAGTGTTAAAATTTGAAGCATCTGCATTGAGTAGTTGCTGAGAAAACTGCGACGAAAATTTGTTATGAATGAAACGAACAGACGCACAGACAAACCAGAAGTTGACATCCGATTTGAACAAAAATGTATACCAACATATAACATGCCTCAGAGAAGATTGTATTACAATTACAAGCTTCTGCAACGAGTAGTTGCTGAGAAAACTGCGACGGTATTTTTTTATGTATGAAACGGACAGACACACAGCAAGTTGACATCCGATTTGTACAAAAATGTATCCTACCGTATGGCATGCCTCAGAGAAGATTGTGTTAAAATTTCAAGCATCTACGATGAGTAGTTGCTGAGAAAACTGCGACAAAAATTTGTTACAGACAGACAGACACACAAGGGTAAAACAGTATACCCCCCTCTCCTTCGGAGCGGGGGTATAAAAATGTAAAATTAACCCTACCCCTAAGTGTGATGATTAAAACTTGAATCTGCAGTATCTGATAATGCTTCCATATAAATTTGACCAACTGTTGTTTTGCAGTTCTTGAAGTGGGATTTTCAAAAACGTTTCCCCACCCTACGGTTACGGGTTTGAAAAAAATTGAATCAACATTATCTAAGGATGCTTCAAAATAATTATGACTTATAAAATATTCTACTTTTCTTAAGAAATTTTTTAAAGATTTTTTTTTCATGCAGATGTATTCACATTTAAAACTTTAATTCCCCACTTGTATGGTTAAAAGCACACACCACTGACAATTTCGATCAGAAAAGTTCACTCGAGCCTTTAGCTTTGTTGAGCTAAAAACTGTTTAACTGATACATTTCATCTGGCTATCATGATATTTAATTTCAAATTAATCAAGCTTTGATAGAGGATGTGAACTTTGTTCTGAGAATTTTTGATATATTATTTTAGGTACTAATATATCAGTTGACGATAAGTTGTGTACATGAATAATAACAAGGCTCATCTTTTAAATTCTACAAGAGGCAACAAATAAAATTTCATTTAGTCATTTGTCATTTTAAACCTACAGCAAACCACTGCAAGTAAAGTGTGAGTCAAGAAAAATTTTTATTTTAGACACTCGCTACACCTGGCCTATGCACCCGTGAGATGCCTGATTTAGGCTATATTCTTTGAGATAACAAAATAAAAACATCTTTTTGTATTTTTTTGTAAAGCAAGTTCACAAAGAATTCTTTTTTTTCACTTAAAAAGTGATCCACCCAGAAATAATACATTTAATAGCAGTTTATATCGTTTGTTCATGTATATATACATTCAAATGATTCCAAAGCTCTCTCACTACTTTTTGAGATTGTGGCCGGGGCTATTAAGAATAGAAAAATAGTCACATTTTGGGGAAATTTCGAAACCCCCATACTTAAAATAATGATTTTCTGGTTGTTTTATGATCTTACATGACTTTGTACATTTCTTCTTAGATAAAAAGGAATATGAATAGCAGGTTAAGATATCAAATATCCAACAATATTTTCTTTAGAGGTATGGGAGAAATGAATATAAGGAAAATAAGAAATTCAAATTGGAATTAAACCCTTCACTATTGGCTCAAACTCTAAACAATCGAGAGCCCTTTATACCCAGAGAGCCATAATATATACTACATGTACTATTACTTGGATGGGTAAGTGAAAAAAAACCCTACATTAAATTAAAAGTTTTTCAGTAATAATTTAATTTTGTTTTTATTCTTTCCTCTCATTGGTTGATTTCCAAAAAGAAACTCATAACATTTTGTATAATCTGGTTTGGTATGGGGACACACCCCCTTGACAACCAGCTGAATCATCTGTATCCATCAATCCCCTCATTTCCAGTCCTTGGGATTCATGGAAAATTCCAGATTTAATGAATGTACCTTTAACTTCAAACAGTAGCTCGATCTTACCTCGTGTAAACAAGCATCATGGCTGCTAGATCTATGTATCAGTTTTTACCTCCCCTCGCTTCCCATCACTTCCGTTACTACGGTTGTATTATTGCGCGGTAAATTTGAACTCATAAAACAACACAATTTTACACTCCCAGTTGTTTAATTATTTTAAAATTTAATTATAAGGAATGACTCTAATTCTTGGCCAAATTATCGAGTATATTATGGATTGGGTCAGTTTACGCTTTTTTATAATCCGCTAAAGAAGACAAACAATGTGATTTGAATAAATATTACTCGCTTTGCACTTTATCATAACAACACTAACATAAAGTCTTTTTCTGACCTGGACATCTCAAAGTATCTCCAAAAAGTCTGTATGTTGATAGCCCATTTTCTCCACAATACAGGGAGAGATTCCTGTACTTTGTTCCATATCTGCATTCAATAATAATTAAAGATCCAAAATCCACTCTTGTACTTTCATTTGGAAAGATTCTGTTGTAATTAGGATCAGAAGTAAGACCTGGGGTCATACAGGTGCCCTCTGTAAAAGGAAAATAGAAATAAACACGCTGCAAAGGAAGATTTTTTTTGGTTGGATATGAGAACAAAATGAAACCAAGAGGAAAGGAAAGATAGTAAAACAATGTTTGATTTTTACCCTTATCTATTAGGTAAAAGTCAAGGTTACTACATACCCTATATTATGAATATCTTGTAGAAGGTAGGGAGAGTTAATATACCAAAAATAAGATTACCTGCCACCTTTTCTTTTGAGTTAGTTCTTTTTACCGCAAAGGCATTTTATTGGTAAAGCATAAATATCACAGACCTAGAAGTGAATAGAATTGAACACAGACTCAGCATATTTTGACCCTTTCCCTATGTGCGATCTATGGGTAAAGTAATGTACGAGAAATAACATGCTATACATATTTTCTGACAAGGATTTTATACATATTTATATTTTAACCTTAGCCTTGAAATAATAAACATGTTTCAAGGGTTACCCAGTAAGGCTTCCAATGCTGCACAACTTGATAAGCCAGCGAGGAGGCAGGTTTTTAGAAAACATAGAAATGTTAAAGCTGATATCATGGAAATTATCCGCAAACAGTACATTTAGAAGGTGTTTTCTAGATCAGTGTCTAAAAGAGCATCAGCTTGAAGACGAAACAGCACAAACAAAACAAATAATAAGACTCAGACTGTATTTTGAGTGGTCCAAGGAAGAAAGTATTGATCCCTTGCAAGCATCTGAACCTCAAATAGCTGACTTTCTTCAGTTTCTTTTTTCAGTAAAGAATTACAAACTAGAGCTATAAATTGCAGGATACAAATCTTCAATTGCTGCTATGCATCCAGGTTGGAACTTGTTTCAAGGGTTCAGTGTTCTTTTTCCTTTTTTCCTCTAGAAACTATGGGTAAAATACATATGAGAATGGTCCAAAGGTAGATAATATATGTACCTATAACAAGCAAATTGACACAAGCATTTGAATGAACTTGACAGTCACCAGTCACCATCTTGCTTTTTATGCTATGAGAAAGTAAAATGTGTGTACATTATCGTACATTGTAAATGCCCAGTGATAAAAAACAAATATCAGAGAAAGTATATCAACTAAGCACTCATTTTGGCTTTGCGACCTGACAAGACTAATTAATTCATAAACCGAAAAGGGCCATAGCTTAATGGTATCATACATAATGAAACTTTCTATTTCGAACCCACACTGCATGATATTTTTAAGGGGGATGTACAAGCCATATTGGATCTAGTCTGGTGTAAAATAAGAAATACCTAGAATGCGCTTAATACTTTACCAAACTAGCCCAAAGTTACTCAAAATGCTAATGCACTCATTACCTACTATTAGAGATCAAAATTATTAAAGAATTAAGTTTATTTTGCTTTAAATAGTAGTAGAAAATATATCATATTAGAACTGAACAGCTACAGCATTCACGAAATGAAAAATGCATTAAAAATGCTGTCAGTTCGGTTCATTGATAATATGGCTACAACCATTTGTTTTGCTTTTTGTCTTGTCATCATCCATAATTCTTGAAATTTTGTTTTTTTCATAATGGGGTCTTGGAACCTGAGGTCAAATGTTAATTGCGTCCGCCATTCCTTTGTCACACAGAGTTCAAATGAAATTGATTTTAGAATAAATGCGACCATAGCAACATCAAGACAAGAAATAATTAAGTAATAATTTTTAGGTTATATAACTTACTACGTTAATTTGTAACATCGCATCGTCTTATTAATGAAAAAACGCGATTTTAACCCCTTTCCATCAAATCGGAAAAATCTGTTGTGTTTATAGTTCGACTTTACTCGTTCATATCATTCCACTGCGCACCGCCCTTAAGGGGATGTCCGGCCACCTTTAGTGCAGTAAGAACAAAATGTAAACATTTCTTCAAATGGCTAAAATTCATTATATTTTGATCAAATTTTAAGTCCTTATGATTAAGATACAATTAATATGCATATCTGAATGCATGTTGTGGATATTTAATCTACACTCTTGCAGAAAAATGATTTTTATATGCTCCTTAGAACTGCGCAGCTACAGAATTCAGCAGAGCTTTAAAAAAGTTTAAAAAAAATACGCAAAGTGTGCATTAATGTTTTTTCTACAATTATTTGTTGAGAAAATGTCTAAATTTTGCACCTTTAAATTGTAATTTCAAGTTCAAAACAGGGTACTGTTGTCTTCAAAATGAGTGTAAAGAACCATGAAAGTAATTCATTGATAGCAGCACGTGGTCTATTTTAAGCACAAAATTTTGTTTTCCAGACCTTTTAAATATGGAGGTACATTATAATCTTAAAATGTAGAAGAGAAATTCTTGTTGCAAAATGTTTCAAATAATATGAACACTTTTAAAAGAGGAAATGTGTCATAGTGTGGCTTAAAGTTATTAGTATATTATCATCGAACAGTTGTTTAATAGTCAATGTATTGATATAAAAAAAATCTTAAAGTTAAAAATTAAGAGTATGTAAGTCTGCCACAGATAACTTATTTTATCTATCAAAATCTTAATTATCACCAATGAAATACAAAGAAAATCAGACACATTAAATCGATATGAATGACCTTGTTGTAGTATACTGTATTAAATAAACATTTACAATTTTAATCACATCGGAGCACCATTTGAAAAGGAATAAAATCATTAAAAGTGGGTTGGGAGATTTACTTAAAAAAAACTTTTTTTCTATTTGTCCATATTGTCAAAATTACAATTTTACACAGTAATTAAAGAAAACAATCAACATAATTAAATATTTTAGTCCATCTTTAAAATGACGTTTGGTGGTCCTCCCAACTCAGGGAAAAATTATTAGGTCCGTATTATAGGTGAGAAAAAAATTCCTTCAAATTCAAACAGATTAAATTGTTGACAAAAAAAAATAATAATAATAAAATATCGTGTAATGGGATGTAAAAAAAAAAGGCAGTAGGTCGGGAGAGAGGCAGCCAAATATTTTAATAAAAAGTGGTCTTAACAGTATAAGGCTAGTACATGTTCAATCACATACCCGGTACCTAATAATGCAAAATTTCTGAAGGTTTGGCACTATTTTGAAAAACAAACATAGGATTTTCGGGGGGGGGGGGGGGGGGGGGGGGGGGATGGAAGGGTGGCGCTAGCATCTCACTCTTTTTTCCGAAGGTAAACACAGCATATGCAATGGACTGTCTTTGCAAACATTGTGCGTCTTCTAATTTCAAAGAAACAATTCAATATATTTTATCAAACTTCGTACGTTAGTGAGAGCTTACAACTTTGTCAACATAATGAGACATAATTTTTTTATGTCCGAACATTACTCCATACAATGTGTGCGTCATCGCAAACAATCTAGCTATTTATCTAAAGTGCCTGAAGGAAGTCCTATAACTGACTATTTTTTCTATCTAACTGCTAAATAAAATAGACATATGTACCAACTTTTTGAATGTAATACATGTAATTACAATTTGTTTTCCATGCACCGCATATTGTTAAACATTTTCAAATTAAAAGCTAAGTATCCTTCTTCCAGAGTCCCATTTGAAAATAACTTATATCGCCACAGAAAAAAGACCCGCCGTAAATACATTTTTTTAAAATCTTTTTTCTTGAGTTTTATCGTTCACGGTAGCTCAGTCGGTAAAGCGCTCGCTCCGTGATTGGGAGGTCGTGAGTTCGTATCTCGGCCGCGACTGACATAGTCGTTAAAATAGGTAGCAACTGTTCCTTCGCCATACGCTCGGCACTTTGAAGTGAAAGTTGCGGGTCCTTCGGATGAGACCTTAAAAACCGAGGCCCCGTGTCAGCGGCAGGCGTTGGCACGATAAAGATCCCTCACTGCTCAATGGCCCTGAGTGCCGAGTAAAAGTCAAAATTTGAAGCCCTTCACCGGCATACGGTGACGTCTCCATATGAGTGAAAAATTCTCGAAAGGTACGTTAAACAATATACAATCAGTCAATCATTTTTCTTGAGTTTTAAAGAAACCAACAAATTATCAAGATTTGTTCCATGAAAAATTAAATATAATCATGGTAATAAACGCATCTATCCACAGTAGATATGCACATGCCAACCACGTGCTCTGTGGAATGATATTTCACAAGGAAACTCGAGCAATTAACAGATTGCTTGAGTTGGGTTAAAATTGCATTTTTTCATTAAATAGACGATGCCATGCAATAAATAAAAGTAGTTAGTTATATAACCTAAGGATAATTACTTAGAAATTTCTTGTCTTGGTGTCGTTATGGTTGTATTTATTGTATAATCAATGTTATTTGAACTCTGTGTGATAGAGGAATGGCGGCGGAAATAAACATATGGCTTCAGGAAGACCCTCATATGAAAAATCAAATTTTCAAGAATTGTGGATAATGGGAAGAAAAAAAGCGAAACAAATGGTTGTAGCCATATATTATCAATGAATCGAACTGACAGCATTTTCAATGCATTTTTCATCTGGTGAATGCTGTAGCTGCGCAGTTCTATCATGATTAATTTCCTCCTAATTAAAACAAAATAAACTTAATTCTTTACTAAATTTGGTCTCTAACAGTAGGTAATGAGTGCATTAGCATTTTGAGTAACTTTGGGCTAGTTTGGTAAAGTATTAAGCGCATTCTTGGTATTTCATATTTTACACCAGACTTGATCAAATATGGCTTGTACATCCCCCTTAAGTATATTATAAGCGTTATTCCAAATTGGCTCAGTCGTTTAAGACAGTCACTGGATAATCATAATCCATTATGCAGCAAATTGTTGGGGGTTTAATGGTATCCTGCATCATATCAGATCATTTAAACTCTTATACAGGTAATCAATCTAATCAATATATTTTTTTCATTTTTTTGTATTATCTGCTCTTTATTATAAATATCTTAAGGTCAAGATCTAGTAAATGAAAGATGCCTACAGATTTATAAAATTTGAGAAACAAATTCCTTTAATGATGCTTTATAACTTAAGCTTGGTCAAATAAGGTGTTTCGGGTCATAATTTGTAGGTAAATAAGATGAAAACCCATATTTTAAACTGTCATTTTCAATGAAAAATTAAGAAAACCAAACATGAATATGGGAGTTTTTTTCATATTCGACAAAGGAAATGTATCCAGATTGCCTACAGTCTCTCAGAAAACCGTAATTTGTATGTCCATGGCCTCTTCTTTAAAATAATATCACATTCAATATAAGTATCCGGATTACTTTTCGTATGATTTTAAATTGAATGTCATGAAAATACCCCTTTTCTTTATAATTCTGCTAAAGCCGTGAAGTACGGGAAAAAGAAAGTTGAAATTGATTATGACGTCATAATGGATCTAGCACCACAAAATCAGCCTAAAGTCATTTACTAGATCTTGACCTTAATTTTATTTTTTTACAAACTTTTACAATCGCCCGCGTGGTGCAGTGGTTATAGCAAGTAAGGAGTTGTTCCTTATGTCGCGGGTTCGAATCCCATTGTGGGACATGGAGACCGGCCCTGGGGATAAGACAGTATAAACCGAGATCCCGTGCCACAGTAGGTGCTAAATGGTCCTGAGTGCTGAACATAGTTCAAATATTTATAACTCTTCATATTGAGCGTCTCCATATGGGTGAAAAATTATCGAGAGGGACGTTAAACAATAATTAAAACAGCAAACGTACTTGTACAATTAGTCATTTCTGTTGACCACTTCCCAACGCCTTGTTCTACCCCACATTTCAGTGTTGTCCTCTGAGGATCTGGGTAGTAGCCATGGTCACACTCCACATTTATTTCATCTTCATAATAAAACAACTGCTTGTTGCTCAGTATTTCTCCATTCAGAGGAGGCATGGGTGTTGGACACTGGACCCCTAAAAGTAGTTTGGAAGCAATTGACAATTTGTCCTGGTCATACCTAATTGAAATGATTATTGTTTGCCCTCATTAAGCAAAGTCACAATCTAAACTGGCGAGTTGATCCCGTTGTAAAGCTGGTGAAGGAGATGGAGGGGTCATGTTATAATCACATTTCATGTAAACCAGTACTAATTGATGAAGATGTTCTTTAAACTGCATTTCAGAACAAGAAGTACAAAACATTTTACTACTGATTTTTCATATACCCCATTCATACAACGAAAATTTGCTTATGTGTGCAAATTTACATATAAGTAAATCTACACACGCAAGGAACAGTTAATTTGCTAAGCGTTCAGACCAGATTTATGTACTGTTAGTAAATCCTCATATTTTCATATAAAAAAAAGGAGATGGACAGATTTAGAATTATGATTTTTTTTATAGAAAAGGGGTATTTTTCTCACTGTTTGGGTATAATACTAACTTTTGAATGTTCCTCAAAGAACTAAGTGGGCGATCCTCTGATTTATCGATACGAAAAGACGAACTTAGTGACTTTAAGGACAAAGTATGGAATATGAATTTACACACCAAGAAGGAAAATTTATAAAAAATTTTGTTTAATGTTTGAAAATGTTTTGGCCTTGGTCCTTAATATTGTAGAAGAGTCGGGGGGGGGGGGGGGGAGAGAGAGAGAGGTGTGAAGAAAAAGGTGACTTTTGCCATCTTCTGGTTGACGTCTTCAGCAGAAATAGGACTATTGGAATCTTTTTGGTGTTGGAAAAATTAATAGAACAAGTGTGCGAGGCCATTATAAAATATCTGCTTGCCATCTACTAGTTGACTTTAGCAGAAATAGGATTATTGAACTCATTTTGGGAAATCCACAGTTCAAGTGTGCAAGGCCATTATAAAATATCTTCTTAAATAGGATAATTAAGTATTTTCCATGAGAATGAAGAAAACTAACAGTAATCGATCTAAAAAAATCTTTGAACAATACAAATATGTAAATAGAAAATTAACACGAGGCCCTAGAAATTCATGCTGGTGGGATCGATTGCCAAGATGGATACTTAAGAATGCTTATTTTCAACGAGTTCATAGAAATTCCCATAACATTAACTTAATTGTGAGTAGCTTGCCTGAATTAAAAACAGAGAAAGATAGAAGAAAGTCATCAAGAGCTAAACGGTAATGGGACGGTTTGCATGTTCCTCTACATCATAGCTGCGGAGCATTCCCAAGGAGACAACTTGAATGGTAAGGACACTACTTATTTAACCAACAGTAGGCGTGTTTCGACCACAGACCCATTGATCTTTATACTTTATAGACAAAAATCATAAACATAAGTTTGCTAGAGAGGGTGCAAGATGCCCTCGTTTTTGCAAACTCGAAATTTTATCTCAGAGGAGATAATGGCTCCTTGTTTAAGAGTTTAGCCTCTAACCACCATGTTTATCAATTGATATTTTACACGCCATTGTATACACAACTTAAACAACACTTAAAATGGATATTTATGCAACAAACAAAAAAATACACATATGTAGATTTGCTGCGTGTTAATACGACCAAATTTACACACATGAACTAATAATTTGCTACAAATTGTATGCAAAAGTTAATTTGCACCTAGTCCTGACCAGGCGTAAATTTACACAACAATACAGAATTTGCATATGAGTAAATCAGTTCAGCAGACAAAAATTGCACAAATGAGTAAATTTACTTGTGTGTTATACGCGTCGTATGAATGGGATGATAGTTCTTTTAAATTCAATAGGTTTCCTTCCGCAAAATGGAACTAATACATTGTACCCCATTGTACGACGAAAATTTACTTATGTGTGTTAATTTACATATAAGTAAATCTACACATGTAAGTAAAAGTTATTCTGCTATGCGTTCAGACGAGATTTATGTCCTGGAAGTAAATCCTCACATTTTCATATAAACTAAGGAGATTGACAGATTCAGAGCTAGTTGTGATTTCTTATATATAGAGAAAGGGCATTTCCTTATTGTTTGGGTATAGTACTAACTTTTAAATCTTCCTCAAATAAACTGGGGGGGGGGGGGGTCCGTTTAACTGGTTTAACTGATTTCTAAAATCAACTTAATTAATAATTTCAAGGAGAAAGAATGGAATAAGAATTTCCACACGAAGAAGGAAAACTTATTAAAATTATCAATGAGCTTCAAGATTGACATTGGAAAATTTTGTCGCAAATTTGTAAACAACTTTTTCAATGATAGAAGAAAAGAATATTCATTAACTACAGTTGTTAACATTTGTGATGGAAGATTTTTTATAAGCTATAATTGAAGCAAAATGACATTATTGTCGTCCTGTGCATTATTAATTTCTTATATGTTATTTATTCGATTGTACAGGAACATTTCTTCTGAAACAATTTAAAAATTCTATTTTGGTTTCATCATAAGGGTTTAAATTATATACAAATTAATCATTATAACACATTTTTATGGCAAAATAATTTTCTCAAAAATACAGCTCATATTGCTTTATTGTTGGAAAATGTTTTGACTTCCATCCCATATATTGTAGAAGAGATTGTGTAAAGAAAAAGCGAATTGCCATATACTAGTTGACGTTTTCGACAACAATAGGACCATATAAAATATTTTTGCGGTTGGGAAATCTGCAGTACATCAAGTGTGCGATACCATTATAAAATATCTGCTTTAATATTATATAAGAATTATGTATTTTCCAGTAGAATGAAAAGGGTGAAAAAAATTTAACAGTGATCGATCTCAAAAATCTTTGAACAATACAAATATGTGAATAGGAAATTAACACGAACCCCTGGAGATTCATAATGAAATCAGGTGCCAAGAAGTTACTTACGAATGCTTATTTTCACTAGTTTATTGAAATTCCTGTAACATTAACTTAGATGTGAGTAGCTTGCCTGAATTAAAAACAGAGAAAGGTAGAAGAAAGCCATCAAGAGCTAAACGGTAATGGGGCCCCAGCGATTGATGGAATGAATGTTCCTATCATAGCTCCGGAGCATTCCCAAAAAAAAATTTGGAATAGTAAGGGCACTACTTATTGATCCTACAGGGCACTTGTTTGCGACCCCAGCTATATCTTTAGAGACATAAACATGGGTTTGTCAGAAAGGATGCAAGATGCTCTCGTTTTTGCAAATTCGAAAATTTATCTCGGAGGGGAAAATGGCTCCTTGTTTAATAGTTTTGTTTCAAGCCATCAAGTCGCCCACGTGGCGCAGTGGTTTGAGCGTCTGCTATAGAGTCGCGAAGTAAGGAGTTGATCCTTACGTTGCGGGTTCGAATCCCATTGTTGGACGTGGATACCGGTCCTTCGGATGAGACCGTATATAAACCGAGGTCCCGTGTCGCAGTAGGTGTTTGCCAGCATGAAAAAGACCCCTTCCTGCTAAATGGCTCTGATTGCCGAGTAAAGGACAAAATTTGTAGCTCTCCACCGGCAAGTGATGAGTGAAAAAATTCTCGAACGGTAACGGTTAACAATATACAATCAATTAATCAATCAATCTAGCCACCATGTTTACGGACCGATATTTTAAAACAACACTTAAAATGGATATTTATGCAATAAACAAAACAAAATACATACATGAGTAAATTTGCTTCGTGTTCATACGACACAAATTACACACTTGAACTAATAATTTGCTACAAAGTGTATGCAAAAGTTAATTTGCACCTAGTCCTGACCAGGTGTAAATTTACTCAACTGTGCAGAATTTGCATATGAGTTAATCAGTTCATACGACAAAAATTGCACATGTGAGTAAATTTACTCATGTGTAAATTATACTGAGGTATGCAAATCATGTCGTATGAATGGGGTATAAGATTGAATTTTTAAACACACACAAACACCCTCTCACATCCTCCCTCACACACACACACACACACACACACACACACACCCACCCTCTCACACACACACACACACACACACACAAATAGAAGTAACTATACTGAACTATGTCTGAACAATGGTACCTCTAGTTACTTCAGATTTTGAATGTGCTTCAACAACTGTAAAATTAAAGTAAGATCAAGCACCTGAAGCAATTTTGGTAGTTGTAATCTTATATGCAATATAAATGACATTGTTTTGAGAACAGTTTTGCAAACTTATCTCGCAAATAAAAAGTGATGTACAGTACTTGAGAATGAACCTTAACCAAAACTATAGACCCCTCCCAGGTTCAGCATCTCGTGTGCATCCCTAGCATCATATTTAATGCA